TGTAAACCAGTGTTACACTCACTGGTCGAAATGAGAAACTGTTCTTTGTCTTAGATTTTTGTTGAGTAATAAAATCTCGAAAACTAACGTCATTGTCATTTGGAATAGACTCAGCAAGCTTTGGGCCAATATTACTAAAATGATCATTAAAAATGTCGACTAATTCGTCGGTCGATGTAACAGTTGTACCTGGAAGTTTAATTTCATTAATCGTAGTCTGTTTTCTGTTTCGACCTAATATATCGTTTATTGTTCTCCAAACATATTTAGGATTCTGTTTATTATTTGTGAATTTGTTTGCATAATAATCTCTTTTAGCACTGCACAAAGCAGTGTTGGCAACATTTCTAGATGACTTATATAGTCTCCAGTCTTCTTCTTTATTTGTCTTTATTGCTTTACGCTTAAGAGCATCTCTTTTAAATAATTTTTCCTTTACTTCCCGGCTTACCCAAGGAATATTGCCCCCTTTTCTTAATCTTATTACTCTCACAGGGGCATGTTTATCCAGCACATCTACAAAAAATGTTTTCCATAACCGCCACATTTCATCTACATTTCTTTTAAATCTTATTTCTTCCCAAGGTATATTTTGTAAGTCATATAGAAAGCCTGAAACATTGAAATTCTTAAAATTTCTATACTCGACAGAACCTTGTAAATCAGTTTTTATTCTTGTACTTATTTTCCGAATACTATAAATGAGGCTGTGATCACTAATTCCGAGATGGACTACACCTGAAAAAATTATTTTTTCAGGCATTGACGCAATTACTACATCCAATAATGATTGGCTAGACTAGGTAATACGCGTAGGGTTATTAATTAATTGTGTAAGCTGATATAATTCCAAAACGTCTTGAAGCTTTCTAGTGGTGGACAAAGTTGGTTCTAGCATATTACAATTTAAATCTCCCAAAATATAAAATTCTATTTTTTCATCATCAATTGATTTGATTAGCCTCTCAATTTTTATAAACACTTCACTAGCGGAACATGGTGGTCTATAAATACTTGAAACTATAAAAGATTGACTATTAGCCTGCTTAATTTCCACACAGACAACTTCAAGGCCTGTTGGAACTAGATCAGGGCGATTTTCATAATTTATATGGCGTCTTATATAAATACATACCCCTCCTCCATTTCTATTCCGATCAGCACGTAGCAAGTCATAACCTTCAATGCTAACAATCCCATCGGAAATAGTGGAGTCTAAACGGGTTTCATTAACTGCTAAAACATCTAAATATTTATCTTGAAGTAATAATCGGATTTCATCAAGGTGTTTCGGAAGGCTAACTACATTAAGCATAGCCATCTTAAAACCCCTTGTTTTCGGAATATTTAAACAGGCATCATTAGCACTCCTCCTCGACCCGTCCTCATTTCAATTATGCGAACTTAAGAAATATGAAAAGTTTGCCTGAAGCAAAGAGCTACCTTCTCGGTTTAAATGCAGTCCTCTACTATTTAAATGAGAGGGACTAATATTACTATTGTCTAAAAATGCAAGCTTTTTCTTCAAGCAGCTTGACTTTAATATATTGTTAGTTTCATTTACCTTCGTTGTAAGTTCCTCTCTATCGCATCTAGTGACTAAAGAAGAGATGATGACTTCAGTATCATTGCAATCCTTCTTAAAATTCTCTGCTAACTCGATAATTTTCTTTGCAATTTCTTTAGGACTTGAATAGCGTATGTCGTTTGTGCCTGCATGGATAATGAGCTTATCGGGTTGCTTTCGTGCAGTGGGCTTTAAGAAATCAGACATATCATTAACTGTTGCACCTGAGAAAGACTTAACCAGGGGCGTAGGAAGCTTAGAAAAGTTGGGGGGCCAGGCTTTGAGGGGCACTTTCAACAAAAAAAGGGCATCTCAAAAAAAATTTTTGGCGACCTCCCCCTCCCCCCCCCCGTCGCCAAAAAAATTTCGGTCAGTGTACCATTTTAGGGGTAAAAATTTTTTCCGGACATACCATATTTTTCCTTAAATACTAAAAATTTTTTCCGGAAAAACAAATATATGATATTTTTATCGGAAACTAAAACATTTTTCGGGAAAAAACCTACATTACAGTTTTCAAAAGTTTCGTTTGGACAAAAACTGCGAATTTTATGAAAATTTTTCAGGCACAAAAAGGGCACTTTGCTCCTGTAAAAAGGGCACTTGCCAAAACTTGGGGGGGCCATGGCCCCCCTGCCCCCCCCCCGGTTCCTACGCCCCTGGACTTAACTATTACGTTTCTGTCAGTGTTGGATACTTCCCAACCTTTTACATATTTTATAATCGAATCTCCAGCTATAACGACCGTTTTTTTAGTGCGTTGTCTTTCTGCTGTTATTTCCTCACTTGCCTTATGCGCTTCTCTTGTTTGCTCGTTTTCCTTTGCCTTTTGTTCGTTATTCTTCACCTTTTGTTTCTTATTCTTATTCTTCTTATGCTTTTGTTCCTGATTAATCTGCTGTGACCTCTGCTTGTTGGCTTTCGATTGAGCAGCTTTGTAATCAGATTCGCTCATTTGATTCTTACCAAAGCCCTTTTGTTGAAGGCTTAACGAGCGGTGAGTTTCTGAGGAAAGTTGAGGAGTAGGACTAGTAGCGGTCGCATAAGAAGGTCTTGAACCAGAAAGGGGGAGGTTTCGCTGTGTCAAACGTTTGTGGACAGCGCGGTGTAGTTCGTCGCAGAACTGGTTGTTGTTTCTGTGGTTTGGTGCCGGTGTTTTCTGCAGTGGTTTGCTCGTTTCGACGTTGTTGACGAGCGCGAGTTGAACGACGTTCATTGCTTTCTATTTATTTATTTTTTGTTTAACAATGTTTTTTTATCCCTTTTTAATAAACTTTAATTAATAAGTTCGACCAGCGATGCTAACGTAGTGGCTGCGGTCTTGGAGACCCTTGGGGAAAAAAGGACCATTGAGCATGCACGTAAATTAGGACTAAGAACCAGGAAAACCCTCAGCAGAATTACTGATTGTTTAGGTTGAAGGTTGCATCAGTTGTTCACATACTAAGTTGCCAAAGTTCAATTCCTTTAGGCGTTTTATAAATATTAACAGGCTAGAAAAAAGGGGGGCATTGTCCCATAGAAGGATACCTGAGCCTTAATCCGAGCTAAATTTATGTGGAATATTACAGGTTGAATCAACGTTGGAAATGACCACCCAGACGTTGGATAGACGTTGAAAAAGGATTGAAAATGCAAATTGGATTGACGTTACTCTTTTGACGTTGAAACAACGTTGAGATTAGGTTGCTAATCTCGTCAACCATAATTCGACGTTGAATCCACGTTGAAACAACGTTGAGAATCCTTCACAAGTTGACGTCGTATAACCAACCATGAACGAACGTTGATTCGACGTCTGTTTGCTGCTGTTGAACCAACGTTCGTAAAACAACGTCAGAGCAACGTTGATATTGGGTTGTCGACGTCGCAACCTTTTTTCAACCAAATTTCAACGTTGAAACAACGTCGTGTGCCCGGTGGGAGACTTCTTGAACATATTACTCCATTAACCCCAATTTATAGCCTCGCATAAATTGAATAAGTAATATGTAATAATGATCAGTTCTTTCTAATCCATAATTCTAAAGCTTTGTTCATAAAAGAAATATTTTTCATTGTTTAACGACAGTAAAGACTTTTAATTAAGTTGATGCCCTCCGTTCTCAGTGTTTTGTTTCTCCAAAAGAATATAACTGGGTTCATCGTTGAATTTGATAAAAAAAGAAGAGCAAACCATCTCCTTTGCAAGATAGCAGAAAAACTGTCATTTATTTTCGACCGATCAATAATATTGGAAAACAATCCAGGTAGGAGACAAACAAGACAACAAACCATCACCGCAAAACAGGTCTTCGCTATCTCCAAATCTTGTTGGAACCTCCGTTTCTGTTTCTCTACTATACTGTGTGGTTGTACAGACATCGTGTTTGCAGGAGGAACTCGATTCTTCAAACAGGAAAATAAAATCCTGGTATAGACAACCACAGTGGATGTGATAAACAGGAATGCGACTATAGTGAGGATGACTCGAAATATATTGACGTAAACAAAGGCAAAACCAAAGAGGATAGTTTCATGACAGCAAACGGCGAAGGTGTATATCAACAGACTTCTTTTTGTTACTTTGGTTCGGTGAATCAAGGGATGAAGGATAGCCAAGTATCTTTCAAAATTCATCATACACATCGCCGTCACTGAATATATATACATGAGTACTCCTAATTTCTTCGAAATCATAAATAGAAGACAACTTGGATTTCCTCCGATTTCACTCGCCAAGACGGTAATGAACAAAGGAATGAACAGTATTCCGATTACAAGGTCGATGACTGATTTAACCATGACGTTGAAGTTTGACACTTTTTCTTTTAGCAACCGAGATCTCCAAATTGCTCTAAAGGTAACACCGTTTAGAAACACAGTGGAAAAGTAGAGAACTACGCTGATGATGATTGCAATGATATGAGCATGCAAGTTCTTCTTGGAAGGAAATGTAACGATTAATTCATCCCTGGAATTCAAAATGTAGCAAGTCTTGGTAAACGTAGTGTTCGCAGTAGTCGAGTTCATTTCTTCATCAGCACAAATCACAATGGTATACAATTAGTTGAAGACGTTTAAGGCCATTTATAGGATATATTATCATGAGCTTTGTTCGTATTCATTCAACCAGGTCCCCTTCATTAAGAAGACAATTAGTCGTCCGTTACCAGAGTCAATCTTTTAACATAGCACATTATTGACGAAACCATTTCATGTAAACAATATTGCAGTAATATATCGCGATAGCGGCAAAGTATCTTTGGTAAAATAACATTTTCTTAATCTGTGAAGCAGATCTTTTATCGTAGCTAGATTATCATTACTCTTTTTAACTCATAAGGCAAAACACGCGATTATTATATTTTCTTCCTTAATTTACTATGGCGAGTATATGGAGATATGGGGCCATGCCCATTTTATATTAATTCCTATGAAATACGCATGCACAATAATAGATGTAAACGGGAATGAGGCTTGGTTGATAAGGCTACTATTAAATTTACGTACTTCTGATCTTTTGGGAGCCGGTTTTGTTGTAAATATGTTATCAGTGTGTTTCTCTATGAATAATTCTATATTCGGTTCTTGTGTGACACAAAGATTTAATTTCTGCGGTATTTGATAAGAAATCAATTTCAAGACTTTAAGATTCACTTTTAATCTCGATCATCAAAGGGTTCAATCCATAGAATAGTCTGGTAACGATTGAAACTTAAATTGAATAAATTCAGACAAGTTTTATCAGTACTTTTAAGGTGAAAAAGAATTTGCGGCCCTTCAGCCCCAACTGTACTATAGTGAAAACAAAACAAAATATTTTAACATATATGCGGTCTTAAACTACCGAAAATTCTTTGTTTGCAATGACGTAATTTTGGATTTCAGTTGACGGGCAGGTATAACAAAAAACGGCTATTTTAATGTATTGATCGAGTTTAGAGACAGTTTAATACTCAAAAGATGAATTACCGTTCAGGTTTTCTTGCTGCAACCATTCTGAATTGATTGCCCGTTATTTGGATGAAAAATCACGTGATTGCAAACAAAGAATAGCAGGGCATGAATACGCTGTAGTGTAGGAAAGTAATTAACAAGAAAGTAATTATAAACTGTTATCAACTATGAGAATCTCCCGTTTCGTTTTTATATATAATCACGACTTCTTGAATGATTAAAATCACAAAGTACGATGGCAAAAAGTAATTAGAATTAAATATTTACAATTGCCGACAGGTGATGCATGCGTAAGTGCCAGAAGAGACCAGAAAAAGTTTAATCAATCATGCACAGTAGCCATTTCAACATGATCAAACTTGATAACTTATGTATCAGTCAGTTCCAGCTGGGGCCAACCCCCCAGGCCTTCGCAACAGGGCATTTTTTAACTATATAACTGGAGGGGGGGGGGGGGCAAAGCCCCCCCCCCCCCATGGTGCCCCCCCCCCACTCAACCATTTTGCCCCCCCCCAGTCAAAGTCCCTTTTCTCTAAAATATAAACAAAACATGAAATTTAGAAGGGAGGTTTGATATTCTAGTGACTGAAATTTGCTTTGTGAATCTTATGTCCTGTCTTTTAACTTTATTTAATGCTAATTCCAGTGGATTGCATTTCCCAGACCCTATAGATTTAAGTTGTTGGAAGGCTCGGCTAAACAAGTTAGTGACCGCAGGGGGGAAACGGGCCCCCAACCCAGTGTTTTATAAGGGGGGATAATTTAGGCCCACCACCAAAAAAACCCCAATTGATTTCGAAACTAGAAGTATTTGAAATCGTATGTGTATATATAATCAAATATCTGTAATCGACATTTTGATACTGACAACATTTCTCGTAATAATCCATCCTGACTCACAGATAGCATAGACTCACAAATCATAATGAAAGAATTAATGAAAGGGCCTAACAAAAGAGGTAGAGAAGACTTTGAAAATGCCATTTCCGACGATTTAGAGACACAAAATTTCCCCGCTCTGTGCCAACCATGGTGGCACTTCGTGAGAGTCAGGCCTCCTAAGTTTAACAAGCTGGCTCCCTGAGTGACCAAGTTGTGGTATCTACATAAACATACTGTATCATGCAAGTATTTCACTGAAGGTTCAGTCTACCTACATGATAATGTAATGCTGTATATATCCAAAAATCTGTTTCAGAAAATGCAGGAATTGCAGTCATAGGGGTAGAAAAATACAAAAATTTTCTGGGGGAGAATACCTCCAGACCCCCCTACAATTAAATGCGATACCACACTAAATTTTTTGTTACCAACAACCATCTATCATTTCTCCACACTTGGTATAGTATGGTCCCTTTTTGTAGATGGCCCCTCCCACTGACGAATTCTTAAAAAATGCCCTGCTTCGCAATGCCGTCTAATCCCAGGTGTGAGACTATTACCCAAATTTTATTACCCGGGGGACTACGTCGATCACATGACGATCTATTGTTGAAAGACTTGCAGCAAAACTGTGATTTCGTTTGTATATGCATAGACATAGCAAATCAAGATATAATCTGGAAACGTACTCGCCAAATTTGAAGGTATCTATAATGAGCCTGTCTCGTACCCAGGCGCTTTTAAGTATAATAGGGGTCAGTATATACTATTTAGAGATACATGAAGTATTCAGGCAAGCAGGCGACGAGCAAAGGGGCTGTTGGGAAGGGTTCCCATCAGCCCCTTCGCGCTCATCTAGCCATTCCAATACTTCAATCAAACCATTACACACGTCGCTGTTCACAAAGAGACGCCAGGGTACGAGGCAGATAACGAGCAACGATTTTACGTTGAGACGACTTTACCGTGCACAAATCTTTTGAAATTGTGCTTATTACGTAATGGTATTTCAACAGTGCAGTTCAGTGATTCAAAGAGATGATGCCATTGGAAGGATGCTTCATTATGCCAAAAATACATCGTCTTCACCGTGCACAAGTTTGCATTACATGAACAAAAAGATAAAAAAGACTTTCGCAAAGCTTCCAGACTATACACAAATGATTATGGTTTTGTATTATTAGTAGTATTATACCTCCCATATGGGATCGGAAGTGACGTGATAGGGCGGGAAAATGACGTCATGCGTGGCGTACGTATGGAAGTAGTATCCCCCCATATAGCGAGATTTTTCCCGCCAAAAAACGTCAGCAGTTTTTGGGTATGTAGATGACGTGGCGTACGTACGCAGGGGAGTGACGTCATAGTGCGTACGCGTGCGTTCGGTGAGAATAGAGTATAAAAAAGACAGGAGTGAATATTGCGTGGACAAATGATGCTTTATTTTTGTGAGGAAAGCATTCTGCAGTTGTTGAAAAATTTGTTTTAAACGTTCGATTATTCGAAGGAATGGATTTTAAAGGGCAAGTGTTGTAAAAAAGATGTGTATACTTGTTTTAAAAAACGGCACAAGTAATTTAAGTGTTTTGTTTTAGACATGGATATTGCAAGAAAAATTATTGCTTGTGAGACGATTGACGAGTTGACATTGTTGGAAAGTTTATATGTATTGAATGATTACGAACAAGGATTAGTGTACGAGAGGAAAGCCGAGATTGTTACGCGTTTGCTGGAATGGGGATTGGAAAACGGGCAGCAGGGATTAGCAGCGAATCTTTCTGATTCGTGGACACCGGAACAGAGACGTAGTTTTTTGGCTGAATGGAACGATGATGAACCTTTTCAGATGATACTGAACGAAGAGGCACTGCAGCATTCAGGCGACGAACTACAGTCGGGACGTGGAGAAAAAAGATCAATCGACGAAGTGAACGAGGGTACATCCGAACAGATTAGCGAGAATAATTATTTTATCGTAACGAATGTGAAACAAGTTCAAATGAAAAAGTTTAAGACTACGGGTACGGATTATACTGTACGATTTACGAACACGTTTGCGAACATGGAACTTTCTCAGTATCACGATCAACTTCACGAAATATTTACTGAACAGTTTACTGGACACTGTGATTGGAGATGTGCCCGAAAACGACCAGGTCCGTTTTGTGTTGCAATCGCCTCAACTTGAAAAACCCATTTCTATTCCTTTCTTATCTGCTTCTCGACTAGTTACGAAATGGAAAGTGTGGTATAGACGAGGTCAAACAGTTTCAGACTTATTTAGTGGATTACCAAATCAATATCGTTTCGAAAGAACATCAGAATGCTATTATTTTTTCCGGACCTGACAAGGACAAAAGGATTTATTTGTTTTTGCATGACAAGCATTATGATGTAATCACAAGCATGCCGGCTTTTTTCGCCAGAAAACGGTACTTTCACACCTGTAAAAAACCTTATGATAAAACAGTGGAGCATTTATGTCCCAATGCATGTCAATGTTGTCGTTTTCCAAATTGTCCGGTTTTTTCGTGGGTTTTTCTGTGTTGATTGTAATCGTATGTTTAAGAGTCAAGAGTGTTTTGATCGCCACAAACAAAACATAGGACAGGAGGGTTCGGTTTGTGCTTCTTTGGTGAAATGTCAACACTGTAATAGTGTTGTCAAACGGGGTCAACTGAGGGCTGATTTAAATGTAAAGTGTGCAAGGAATACGTCGATCCTAAGCATCACCGATGTTACATGCAACCCGCGAAAGAAAAACCCACCCGTGAGGATTTGTCTGATGACGAAGCCAATGATGAAACACCTGAAAGTGATTATAACGAGCTGTTGTTTTTTTACTTTGAGTGTCGTCAAGAGAACGGTACTCACGAACCGAATTTGTGCGTGGTTCAGAACGAGGCTGGTGACAAGTGGGTATTTAAGGGGGATAATACACTAAACAAGTTCTGCAAGTGGCTATTTACAAAGGAGCACCAGGGATGTATAGTTGTGGCCCATAACTTTCAAGGTTATGACGGGTATTTTATTCAGCAGTACCCGCACGAGAACGGTGTTATTCCCGAGGTTATCATGCGTGGCGCAAAGATCCTTTCAATGTACATACCTATGCTTAAGATTAAATTCATTGATTCATTGAGTTTCATCCCTATGAGACTGGCTGATTTTCCCAAGACCTTTGGCCTGAATGAACTGGTAAAGGGATATTTTCCTCATCTGTTTAACAAGACGGAAAATCAAAATTATATTGGACCCCTACCACCGAGTCCCTATTATTACCCCGACGGAATGAGTTCCACAGAGAGAGAAAAGTTTATGGAGTGGCACAATGGTTTAAAAGAGAACAGTTATGTGTTTAATTTCCAAGAAGAGATCCTAAGTTATTGTCGGTCTGACGTGGATATTCTACGGCGTTGTTGCCTCGAATTCCGTGAACTGTTCCGTGATATCACAAACATTGATCCATTCGAGAAATGCCTTACGATAGCATCAGCGTGCAATCTTGTGTTCCGGACGAATTTTCTTAAGGAAAATACCATTGCCATTTTGCCTCCTCATGGTTATCATCCAGGAACGAAACAATCTAACATAGCCTTAAAATGGTTGTCTTATACTGCTGAGAAGAACGACATATACATTCAGCACAAACGCAATGGTGGAGAGAAAACTGTTGGGCATTATTCCTTGGATGGTTACGACGAGGAGACACGTACAGCGTACGAATTCCACGGATGTTTTTGGCACGGTAAGTTTTTTCCCTGTAAGAAAGAACTAACCGTTTTTTACAGGTACCTTTTCCTTGTGAAAACTCCCCAGTTAATCAGTTGTTTTTTTACAGGATGTTTAAACTGTTATGCCAGGGATACCGTGAATAAGGTGAACGAAAAAACCATGCACGATCTCTATCAGGCTACTGTGCAAAAGACCGAATACCTTAGAGGACATGGCTTTCATGTGGTTGAAATGTGGGAATGCGAAATCAATCGGGAGCTGAGACGCGACGAAGAAATGAAGGAATACTTTGACAACTACGACCTTACGGATCCTTTGGAGCCACGTCATGCGTTTTATGGTGGGCGAACCAACGCAACGAAACTTTTTCACGAGTGTAAGGACGACGAGGAGATTAGGTATGTTCGGGAAAAAAAGGGATAGGGTGTAAAACCACAAACTAATGCACTAATTTTCTTAGGTATACCGACTTTACCAGCCTTTATCCGTGGTGTAAGAAGATGACCCGGACGGTTATTGGTCACCGTCGTGTTATCACTGAGAATTTAGGGGATATTTCCACTTACTTCGGATTGATTAAGTGCACGGTACTTCCACCTCGAGAGCTTTTTCACCCCGTTCTTCCCTACCGTACCCAAGGCAAGTTAATGTTTCCGTTGTGCAAATCGTGTGCAGACGTGTGCAATCAGAGCCCCCGTACTCATTCCGAGCGCGAAAGAGCCATTCAGGGAACGTGGTGTAGCGTTGAATTGGAGAAAGCCCTAGAAAAAGGTTACACCATTTTGCGAATGTACGAAGTGTGGCATTTTCCCGAAACCTCTGATAAGCTGTTCAAAGACTACGTGAATACCTTCCTGAAAATTAAACAGGAATCCAGCGGGTACCCTAAGAACTGTGTTACCGAGGAACAAAAACAGCAGTATGTGAATGAATATTTAGCGGTTGAGGAAATACAACTGGACGGAGAAAAGATCGAGCACAACCCTGGTATAAATTCGTTATTCGTCTGACACTCAGGCTACTGGTATGCGTGCGCTGTCCAAATTGATGCTGAACTCGTTTTGGGGTATGTATTTATTAGTTCGTTTACTAAGGGCCACGCGATAAACCCTAATTAATAGGTACTTACGTTGTACTTTTCCCCTTAGGTAAATTTGCGCAAAGATCCAATATGACCAAGGTGGAATTGGTCAAAGATCCCCGGACGTATTTCGATTACTTAACGTCGGACGAAATTAATGTCTTAAACGCAAGGTTCGTAAGCGACGAAATGGTTGAACTCCATTACAAATACAACGAAAATTTCGTTGAACCCGATGCGAAGACCAACGTGGTGATCGCCGCCTTTACGACCGCGTATGCCCGTCTCAAGCTATACGGAGTGCTCGATCAGCTTCAAGAGCGGGTACTGTACTACGATACGGATTCGGTGACATTCGTAAGCAAGCCCGGCGAGCCAGAACCTCCGTTGGGACCGTACCTCGGTCAGTTAACCAATGAATTGAAGAAGGGTTACATTATCACCTTTATCTAGGGCGGACCGAAAAACTACTGTTACAAAACCAGTACAGGTAAAGTGGAAACGAAAGTACGGGGGATTACCTTGAATTGCTCGGCACAACAAAAGGTAAACTTTGATGTTATTCGCTCGTTAGTGTACCTTCATGCCAAGTGTAATGTTACGGGAAAAGTTACAGTGGACATTCCATTGAAGATAACCCGAAACGCAAACGACAAAAACATTGAGACAAAACGCATGAAGAAGGACTATAAAATAGTTTATGATAAACGTTTAATTATAGATGACTACAAAACGTTTCCAATAGAACTTGCGTTAATATAATGGAGTGCAACGCTGAATTGTCGACAAGCGTTGACGGTATCGTATTTTCTTCTATCAGAAGTTTTATTAGTTCCAACGTTGCCAGATTTCCGTCCTACATTATGCATTTATCGGAGAGCCAGCGAGTAATGGTGTTTCTCCAAGGCATGTTTGCATCGAATGACGGTGAAACAGAAAAAAACATGATGTTTTTTAATCCCAAAAGGAAAGGAAACATAGAACAAACCGGTACTCGAATAATTCAGGCGTTTTTCGTAGATTGTTTAAAAAATCAAGGGTCGCCTGATGATTTTCATTCAGGCGCCTAAAATGTTTTGTTGTGCCCTTTAAGTATTCCCGATCCATGACAAGAAGGGCCGACAATAAACGGTCCGAGAGAGTATTTCCTGTTCCATGACTTGTTTTATAATCTGTAGGCCGTATAATGACCATCTCTCCTTTTCGGACGGTCTCAGGTGCTTGCAGAGCTTTTCGATTCTGAGAGCCACGACCCTTGCACATATTGCATCCATTAAACGGCACTGATCTTGCACAGTATCCACTGGAGGCCATTCCTTTTCTACAATATGCCTGTAAGACATGCTTATTCCAAATGGAAAAAAGGCGCAGGAAGGTCCGAGTTTTATAGTACCTGTTTACGGGATGATATGTAATTTATCAATAACCTTTCCCTTAGCGAAAAAAAACCCCAGTAAAGTGCACGTCATCGTAGTATGGTCGTGTGAGAATATGATCAAGGTACCGTACCCTTTATTTTTACGTTATAATAATTGAAAGGTCACGTGTTTTAATACCTGTCTGTGTTCTGCGCAAAAGACGGTTTTCCAGTCGTCCGGTGTATACTTGATCAGTTCAAAATCATGTACTTTCATATCGCCCAGACTTTTAGTAAAAGCCTCCATCACCTCCACTTCAGAGACCCTATCTAGGGCATTATCAAAGTACATGCAGAGCTGTTCGTCTTTTTCCATTGTAAGGCATTGATGAAGCGTCTGAGATAAGTGTTGTGCCGTACACCCGTGACAGTTCTCAACAATCAGCTGAGAAATAACGGCTGCAATTTCTTTGGCAGACACCTTTAGAAATTTTTTAATAATAATACGTTTTTGGCGATGATAAAGAACAAGTTCCTAAGTATCAATATCAATAGGTTTAGACATGTTTGCCTCTCAATTACTTTTAGTTAATGAATGGTTTCTAGGACGGGAAGACGCCCTATCAGTATCAGCGTGTAAACCTGGGAAACCCTTTCTTCTATGTCAAAGCGCACGTTATGGGTCACTCCTATAGCAAAACCCCAAAGTTGAACAAGAATCATAATAGACAGAAAATGTTCAGAATAGGCACGAGTGCAGGACGAAATGATCTTAATTTCGAGGGGCATGTACAGGTGGGATACTGTAGTAAAACCATTAAAAACTACGAATCCACTGAAATACCCCAGGAGAGTAGCGTTTAAAACGCCAAATTCATTGAAAAAACCCAGGAGAGTAGTGTTCAAAACTCCGAAGAATGACATTTTCCTTTCATTTTGAACATGGACGACTACTTGTCTAGCGTTTATTACAATCCGAAACGGTCCGGAGGATTCGGTGGTGCGGAACGCTTGTACAGGGACGTAAGAAAGGAAGACAAATTTGCAATAAGCCGAAAACAGATTAAAGAATGGTTAATGAAACAGGACACGTACACGTTACATAAGCCCATGCGTCGTCATTTTAAGCGGAACCGTGTCATTGTGGGTGGTATTGATCAGCAATGGCAAATGAACCTGGCCGATATGCAATCCATGCAAAAGTTTAATGATGGGTACCGTTACCTACTTGTATGCATTGACGTGTTTTCCAAATATGCAAGGGTCATTCCACTGAAGGACAAAACGGGTCCCACACTTGTTAAAGCATTCAAAGTTATCCTATTATCCGGGCGCAAACCTGAAAAGATTATGACCGATCGGGGAACCGAATTAATTTTTAAACAGGCATTTTCGGGCACTTATGAAAGAGGAAGATATTGAATTGTACAATACGTATAACGAAACAAAGGCTTCTATTGTGGAACGTTTAATCCGTTAACCACAGCGTTCACCGGAGTATTAAGGCAAAACCCGCGGATGTTACCTCCGAAAACGAAAAGGAAGTGTGGCACACTCTGTACGGTGATCATAATGCCGTAAACAACGTCAAGTATAAGTTTAAGATTGGAGACCAGGTTAGAATTAGCAAGATGAAACGCACGTTTGAAAAAGGGTATTTGCCAAATTTTTCCAAAGAAACTTTTATTATTAACAAGCACATACCCTGTGATCCTCCAGTGTATAAACTAAAGAACGTGGATGATGAGGAACTTAAGGGAACGTTTTACGAAAAGGAGCTACAGAAGATCATTAAGGTTACAGGACACCCTTTTTGGCGTTTTGTGGAAAATCGCTACTGCGCGCTCAAAATCAGTCCGATTTTCATCAAATTTTCACCAAATGTTAGCCAGTGCATGCAAAATATGATAAAGTTGTAAAATTGACAAACAACAAAATAATGTAAGAATTATGCAGGAAACTCTTAAATCGCGGTACCTTTACGCTTTTGAGTTATGTTCCTGCTGGTTTTAAGATATATTTATGAAAATATCATTTTTATACAGTAAAATAGTTCTTCCAAAAATTGTGTTCGGAAATTTTTGTTTATTTCGTCACTCCGCTGATATGGCGATTTCTTTGACGACTGCAATATATTTCTGAATCGTTTGTGTGAATTGCTCCTTATTATTAAAATATCCAAAATTAGAACAAAGCCGAACAAAATTTTGAAATTGACGTCTTTAGCTATGTCCTGTGAAAATTTGAGAAAAATTCGTTAAAACCCACAGGAGCACAACTCGTTTGAAAATCAGTAATTACCGTAAAATTCTTCGGGAGAAAATTGAATTTGAATATTACATTTTCAATGTTTTTCTTATTGCAAGCAAAATGTATTTTATTATATAACTCTGCGAGTTTTCAACATTTTTCGTCCAAACTTAGTCAGATAGTAGAACTAGTCTAATGCTTTCATGGAAACCAATAAAAAAAATTTAGGCAAAATTAACACTCAAAGGTGTTCTGTAAGGATGGTGTTTATGAAATTGAAGAAATCCTGAAAAAGCGCGGACGGGGTAATAATGTTCATTACTTTGTAAAATGGCTAGGATACCCTAGTAAATTCAATTCGTGGGTTTCCGCATCGGAAATAAACAGGATTTAAGTAGGCGGGTATACTGCGTGCCCATTATTTTTACCAGGAAACCGTAATGGACGGAACGCACTTCTACCTTACACTTCCAAGTAATGCATCCCTGAACGTTTTTCCCGATAACAAAACATCGGGATACCGCGTCAAATTACCGCAACCTATTAATTTGGACGGCTACTGGGAAGTGGGACTGTGCTCCATTTCTTATCCCAATACGTGGTATACCCTGCGGAATGTTAATACGGATACCCATTTTTTACTACGATGAGGGCAACGGATGGCCGTCGTCTGCGAAGATAAAGTACGGTCGGTATGAAACCCTAGAGGAATTTATCAAGGGTCTAAACGATGTCCTGGAGAGAGAAATTGGAAATAGAACTACCATATATTTCTCATATGAGGTCTTAACCAGAAAGGTAACAGTTCACCTAAAGGTCAATTGCAGGCTTGTCATTAATGGAAAAATCTCCCTTATTCTCGGGTTCGGGGGTAAGGTTCCTTGATACGGGAAAGGGGTTAACACACGAGGATGCTGCAAATTTACACACTTTTTCAACTATCTACACGTACTGTGACATTGTCAAACCGCAAATTGTTGGGGACGTTAATGCCCAACTGCTCCAGAGTATTCCCGTGGAAGGGAAGCACGATGATATTATTACCAGCACCTTTACCAATATTCATTATGTACCCGTTCAAACAAAATCATTCGGGAGTGTGGAGGTTCTTTTAAGGAATGACACGGGCGACCCCGTGCCATTTGAACACGGAAAGGTAATAACAACATTACACTTTAGACGGCGCAGTTACTTTACCTGAGGAGACATGAGTGAAACGCACTTTTACCTTACATTACCTAGTAATGCCTCTCTGGATGTATTCCCTGATAATAAGACAGGAAGTTACCTCGTGAAGTTACCTCATCCCATTGATTTAAACGGCAACTGGGAAGTCGGATTATATTCCATATCTTATCCTAATACATGGTACACCCTGCGTGCAGAGGATAATCACATCTACTGCAGTACCGACGGTCATATCTTTTCGCCGGTAATGGTAGACTGCGGCTATTACGAAACGGTACAGGATCTTATCGCAGCCGTCAACAGGACCCTTGAAAAGAAGACCGGAAACCGGGGCATTGCCCTAGCGTTTGATCCTAGGACCACCAAGATGAAAGTGACAATTAGTCAGAGAGGGTATATGTTGGGACTAGCCACAAAAATGTCAGCTATGCTGGGATTCGGGGGAATAGATATGAAAATTAAGAAAACAACCACAAGTCCGTACGTTGCCGATCTACTTGATATTACTACGGTTTACATTTACTGTGATATTGTCCGACCCCAGATTGTGGGTGATGTCAGTGTTCACATGCTCCGGACCATACATGATATTGTCGCAAAGACATTCAACAATATACAGTATGTACCCGTTCAGACAAAGTCCTTTGAAGACATCCAGATTCTTTTAAGGGACGGGACGGGTGCTCCCGTGCCATTCGAACGCGGAACGGTCATAGCGACACTGTACTTCAGAAAACAGAGTTACTTTGCCTAGATATGTTTGGTAGTCTACTAAACAGTAATCCGCTGACCGGTAATCCACTTGTGAGTTATTAGAGACCTTACGATTTTAGGACGGCAACCGCGACGGCGACGGCCAAAACGTTCAAATAAATGGTAGTCGATAGTTCGTCGTATATTATCAATCGTATGAATTTAATACAGTCTTAGAAGTTGAAGACATGGGTTTTATGGTTGGGAAGAGTTCTGCTAAACCCAGTTTGAAGTTACACTTGTTGTGGCTTGGAATGCAGCCGTTGTATCAACACGTGAAAATATGTGATTTGACGTTGTAAACAGAGCGAGGACAATGTTTAAATTATTCATTTATTGTAATTACTCAATTCTTTTCAATGATCTATTGTATTGGTAGCCGTTGCCATCCTAAAATCGTAAGGTCCCTAATACCTAAATCAGCAACGGGGACGTGGAATGTCAGTCTTCAGGGGTAGCCCCTGGCAAGCGGGCTACGGACAGATGGGATACGGTCTGGGAGGAGTCTTTAGTGCCCTTACAAGATCCAGTATATCCCTGTTAAAAGCCGGTGTTAAGGCAGGTGTCAAGAACCTTGCACGAAGAAGCGTACCCATGCTTAAGGCCGGTGCAAAGGCCGGTGCAAAATCCCTTGCGAGGAAAAGCGTCCCCTTGCTCAAGGCCGGTGCAAGATCCCTTGGTAAGGCCGCCCTACGGAGCGGAACCGACTTCCTCGAGGATGTCCTCTCGGGTTCAAGCGTGAAAGCATCCGCAAAGGCACGTTCCTCGGAGGCAATTCGTGGTGAAAAACGAAAAGCTCGGAACAAGCTAACCGGTCAGAGCGGACGGGGAAGAAAGCGTACCAAGCGTTCAAAGAGTGTAAGACGAACGGCTAAAAAGAGGAAGGCATCAGCATCCACAACCAGACGTCGTCCGACCAAGAAACGGAAAACAGCTCACGACATCTTTGGTTAAGCAGTATGAGTTTTGTACACTCCGGATCGCAGGAATGCACAAAAAGCGAACTCGACTTATTTTCCGTACCTCCAACACAGATTAGTTTGGAAAAGGGACATTGGATAGATCACCAGCCCGTTTCCAGTGTGGCCGATGGTGGTAGTATTACATTCCTTTCCACAGGTACCGAGGACTATGTGGATCTTTCCAAAACGATCCTTGTGATAAGAGATAAAGTAACAAAGGCTAATGGAAACAATCTCGATGCAGATGAAAAGGTATGCTTTCCCTTTTTTATCATAAATACCGGACCCATTTTCGGTTACTAACTACACCTTCCTTCGTTTCAGGTTGGAGTGGTAAACAATTTCCTACACAGTCTGTTCAAGCAAGTAGACGTTTTCCTAAAGGAAAAGCAGGTTACCCAGGCTACCGGAACCTATGCCTACCGCGCCTATCTGGAAACCATCCTCAATTATGGTCCTGCCGCCAAGGAATCCCAGCTTACCTCTGCTCTGTACTACAAGGACATGGCAGGAAAAATGGACGCTGCCAATCCCACGATAGCTGCCCCTAATCACAATGCTGGGCTTAAAACGCGGTACACCTTCAGCAAGGAAGGTGGAATTATCGAAATGGTCGGACCCATTTTCAGCGATATATTCATGACCGAGCGCCTCCTCTTAAGTTACGTGGATTTGAAAATTACCCTAAATCGTAACAACGAAAAATTCTGTTTGATGGCCTCCGAGAATGGTGCCGATTTCCGTGTGAAACTTATGGATGCCTCCCTTAGACTCCGTAAGGTCAAAACCAATCCGACCGTCTCCGTGGCTCGTGAAATAGCCCTCAAGAAAGGACCAGCCATTTACCCCATTCGCCGCGTTGAATGTAAAAGCTTTATCGTTCCCGCCGGAAATCCCTCCCTAAAGAAAGATAACCTTTTCAATGGACTTGTACCAAAACACTTGTCTTTGGTATGGTCGAGAGTGAAGCGTTTAATGGTGCCTACAAGAAAAATCCGTACAACTTCCAGCACTTTAGTGTGACATCCATTGGAATCACCGTTAATGGAGAAGAAATGCCATTCAAACCCTTGAAACTTTCCTACGAAGCTGCAACGCCAAGGTATGTCGAAGCATACAGCACACTGTTTTCCGGTACCGGCAAAATGTACTACAATACAGGCAACGCTATCTCCCGGAACGAATTTCCCAACGGTTATACCGTGTATGCCTTTGATTTAACACCGGACATGTGCGGAGCCTCCCCCCATTTTAATGTGGTGCAGAAAGGAAATCTGGCCATTGATATTCAGTTCTCCGCAGGACCTGCCAATGCCGTAAGTCTCGTATGCTACGGAGAGTTTGAGAATACCGTTTACATTGATTCCGAAAGAAATGTAATTTATGATTATTCTGGATGAATACCACTCAGATAGCCCATGCCCTGGAACAGGACCCTGTAACCAGTAAAAAATTCTGCGATGTGTTCCCTAGCGACAAACTACTCCGGATCATTGACAAGTATCCGTGCGGATTCGTTGCCAACACCGACCGGAGCAGCAAGGCTGGTACCCACTGGGTCGCCTTCTACTTTCCGTCCGAAGGGAAAGGGGAATTCTTCGACAGTTATGGACATGAACCCGAATATTATACGAAATCATTCGGAAATTTCCTCAAGTCCCACATGTGGGATTTTAATAAACGTAAACTGCAGAGTACATGGTCAGACGTTTGCGGCCAGTACTGTATATTTTACCTTAGCCATAGGGCACGAGGACTAAGCATGAGTAAGATTGTACACTTATTTAACAGTGATACAATTTCTAACGATACAAAGGTATACCGGTTTGTTCAAAACCATTTTAAAATATTGTCAAGGCACTCTAGTGTCGTACCGAATCAAACCTGTAAAAATTGTTTTCAATAAATTCTCCTTTTTAAAAAACGCTGCCGTTTGTTTCCTCTTCCCGCACGTCCCACACGCAAACCGCACAGTTGCCTATCCTATAAACCCGAACTGTCATTTGCTAATTGTCAATAATCTCAAGAAGTACGATCGTTCAGAAAAAAATGATTTTTTTACGATGGTTCTTTCACAGAACCGTCACTAACAAAAACAAAAAAAACACTTGCTTTACACTTTATTTATTTATTTATAAACATTTACAACAATTCCTTAACGTACTCAATACACCCCTTTTTCCTAATCTGCGCACGTCCCACAAGCGAACCGCACAATATTGTAAGCCTTATAAACCCAACACTTATTACCCATTGCAATTTAAAAGTCAATGTTCTCTACGTTTATTGCTGAACCCGCTTTTAAAACAAGTATTTTTTTTGGAACGATTCCTTAACAGAACCGTCACAAACAATCCCTAATTATATATAACTAAGCCAATTTCTTGGTGTGTTCAAATGCCCCCGTATATACTGACGGTAACGCCGTGCCCTGTCCTCGGGTGTCTCCCGTTGGGGTATCTGCAGAGGAGGTGTCTGTACAGGAGGTGATCCATGGCTAACGGGGCCAGGTCCCTGGATCTCCTCTCACCTTTTTGCGTTTCCCGCAATATCCCTTGGTATATTAAGCCTTGACAATCCTTGAAAAAATTCCCGCGATCCCGTAGGATTGAAATTCTTCCGTGCCCTTACAGCATCACTAACCAAATCGGATATATTAGAACCAGCAATTTTCCTTACCATCCACCTTCACCTTACCGGACTCGTCCCATGCAATAACACCGGGTTTTGCCCTTAGGCGCTTCAACAGCATTGCCGCCTTCGGCCGCTGTGTTACAGGTAGGTGGGCAATCACATCCGCATCCGACTGGGACGCTTCCTTTTCCCCTTCCTCCGCAGTCTGTGCCATCCGTACCGGAGGCACATACTGGTGCTTCTGCTTTCTTAAACTTAAATAATAACTTACTGACCGAGAGTGAGGGCAGTACGGGAAAATATCCAACCGAGGTCTTGCTGTATTGACCGAGCGATAGCGAGGTCAATACAGCAAGACCGAGGTTGGATATTTTCCCGTACTGCCCGAACGGTTGAGGTCAGTAAGTTTTTTATTATATGGCATTGTACGTTTGTAAAAAATGGGTAAAAAAGGTCACGCGAGGGCAAAGTACAAAGTCCGAAACATTTGCAAAAAAGAACAATTGTAAAAAATGTTCTCAAGCTTGGTTAGTAAAACTACTCTACAGCAATTTTTATATAGAATACTAACACAGTTGGATAGTATTTCAAGAAAAATACGAGGTATTTCGTCATTTAATCAAAGACAAAGACAACAAATATGAAAACAATAAAATTAATAAACAGTATGGACAAGTACGGTTTTAGTTCGCTTCATCTCATAAATATATCTCTTTTTATCGAAAACCCCCAGAAATTTTCAGGGGAAAAATATAAATCTGTGGCTGCTTTAGTTGTATTTTTTATTTAGGATGGTGTCAAATTCCTCGGCTATCTGCAAATAAGATTTGCAGCTCTTCACAAAGTCAAAACACAGCTATTCCTGACTTCTTTAATAGTTATAAACATTGTAAAATTTACCTTGTAATTTCGACTTTCGCTAACAAAAACATATTGAGAAAGTTCTTTAACCAAAGAAGGTGCTCCTTTTCTTTAGTTTAGGTTTATTTTTCTTCGTTTTGAATAGTTTTGAAAGACTTTTAGACACTTTTTGCCGTTTGAAACTCGGCTCTTGTCGCGGGGCAAAAAAATTGCGTATTGCCCGTGGGCAATACGGGAAAATCCTGCCTCGTCAGCAGCCAATCAAATTGCGCGATTCATCAAAACAAATGCTTGCCGTATATATATTATTTAATATTGATCTATATAGAGGATGAACTGAATCATTCTCTTCTAACCTTGAACATAACAGCATGCGCTTCATATCCTGCCCACGGATGGGAACCAGTCAGCAAATATTTCCAGACACCAGCAGCTTCGTAAATGTCAACACTTGCTCGATATTCCCCACCACAAAATAACTCTTTGGGCATGTAAGGCACTGTACCACGAATGCCGATATTTGAGGTTTTGTCCCTACGATCCACAGCCAATCCAAAGTCGCCGACTTTTATGTCGTTATTACCAAATAAGATGTTGTCAGCTACAGAAATAATTATCAATATAATTACTAAATAATTGAACATACTGCTACATGTAATTGAATTGTCCTCACTTGAAACTCGCAACCCCAAAACGCGTAAAAAGCACAATGGACGTGGATATATGTTTCTTTTCTTACACTTGTTTTGAGCGTTGCATTTTGCCCAAGAATGTTCCCACGCCCAAATTCACAATTTATCGATAACATTTTTATATTTATGATATTAAATAAAAATGTTATTGATCTTTGGAGTTTCACTTGTTTTGTATTTTCTAGATAAATTGTTCCAACAATTTGATAAGATATCTCACTTTTTCTTTCTTTAATTAAATCGACAAAAAGATCAGTGTGCAAAAACTTACGTTTTATATCAGCGTGGACATATCCATCATCATGCATAAAAGCAAGAAATTTTAAAATTGGTTTCATCAGAGCTACCGCTCTCCTCTCATCGATATTCAGGAATTCACGGTTGTCAGCGATGTATTTAAGCGTACCTGTTTAAACAAGATCATATGTTCTTATGGGAAATTGTCAGAGATTGTATATAAGGTGAAGAAAAATTAGCACTCTTTATAATTATATATGACAATGACGTAATTTTACCAAATAAGGTCATGAGAACATGAAAATCTAAGAGCGGGTTACACGGTAAAAATCCGTCTCGCCGTCGTCTAAACCGGTTTTTTCTAGATATGACGAAGCAAAAATCCGCGTGAAAAACTTCAAAAAGACACAGACTGTGGAAAAACACTAGGTCAAAGGCCGCGAGGAAAGCCATCAAATAAACTTTTCAATATTTATAAAAGCATTTCCAAGATTTGAAAAAGTAAATGAAGATAACAAAAGTACGAATTATTTTCATTAAGAAATGCACAATAAATCATGCACATGCAAAACTATATATATAAACACTGTCCTTTTTATATAATTATTTTATAATTCTTCATTTAAATGGGTTTAAACTTTTCCGTGCGTATACTGAACGTAAAAAAACTGCACGTATTAATGCCTACTTATAAAATGGATATACTTTCACGAACCTTCCATAAGCTCCATAAAGATGTAAACATGTTTCCCATCATCATACGCTCCCAGGAGTGTCACCACATTCTGGTTTGAAGACAACACTGACCATATCTTGATTTCGTTTTGTTTGAAATCTTCACACAGAATCTATAATTGTAAATGAAGAGTGACAATCCATTCCAGACAACAAGGTCCCACTGCCTAGAGTATAATTTAATAACTAACTAAAATTAACTATAATACTAACTATATTTTACTTTTTGCTTCAAAAGGATCCTAATTCATGCAGATAAATAAAATGCATATATATATATATATATATATATATATATATATATATATATATATATATATATATATATATATATATATATATATATATATATATATATTTATACTATATTTATACTATATATATATATACTATATATATAT